ATATATATATATATATATATATATTGTGTGTGTGTGTGTGTGTGTGTGTGTGTGTGTTTACTTTGCAGGGGAGTCAATGGTACCAGCAGATACAGGAGTCTGGGATAATTATTGTGTGAAAAAACAACTTCTTCACTCTTGGTAAGTTGGTAGTAACATAAAGAGAAGTATCATTAAGTGTATAATTGATAACATTAAAATATTTCTATTATTTTTGTGACCATACAGTGGAAAAATTGTCAAGCATTTGAGAAGGTATGACCCAATTATTAAAACTAGCTTCTATAATTTTACATTCCCTTTTATATTTTGGTTGTAGCAGTATTAGCTGTAGGAAAGGTTAATCTCACTGTCTGAGGGGGAAAGGAAAGAACAAACTTCTCTGAAATAGTACCATCTGCATTGTGTGGAAAATCAAACCATGTACTTAACAATAAGCCTAGTTTTTCAGGAATATAAATCAGTCTTCCACCTTATCAGCAAAGGAGTTGAATTGTGATACAAAGCATGATTTGTATTTATAATAGCTTTGTCTTGTAAAATCTCACACTAACATAATTGAAGGAAAAAGTGCTTCATAGCTGCAGGTTTCGGGGGAAGGATAAGCACAGGGTAGAGGCTTTACTCACTCTCATCTCTTCCCTTAGCACAGTGATTGCCACCAACATTCTCCTGGTTGATGAAATTATGCGAGCTGGGATGTCTTCTCTCAAAGGGTGATGAAATGAAACCCAACTCTTCTGGAAGACAATTCAGGGCATCTGACATTCAACTGTTGTGGGATAGCATGGGCCATTCTTAATTTTTACAAAATAAATGTAGCTTATATATTATGGTTTAAATTGTCTCAAAGATCATCAAGTTATAAAGAGCCAAAGAAATGTTTTCACAGTAAAAGGATATAATGGAAATATTTTTTCAGAGTCCTAACTCCTTACTCTGTGTTTTGTAAGCTATTGCAATTTTTATAAAATAGAATTTATTATAATTGTTAGATATTTTGGGATAACTTTTAATTATTCAAATATGCAGCACAGGTTTTAGAATCTAAATAAATTCCCCATTTATCAGAGGGTATAAAGGTAGTAAGACAAACTGTTTTACTGTCTTGAAAGTCCTTCAGTAAATTCTTGTTGCCACTCTTTCCTTTTATAAATATAGCATCACTTTATGGATTGCATTGATTTACATTACCTGGTATTTATTTAATATCTTATATTTTACCTGGCTCTTTTGTGTATTTGATTTTATGTGTGATCAACAACTTAGGTTACTGTGCTAATTCAGATCTGAATATATAATGAAGTACTTTCACCTGAAAAGGTAGATATTGTTAGCATCAATTCTTTAAAATAATTGTTTTGGGCTTTGAATGCCACTGTTTTTTGTTCTTTTTAGTTGTGCATGACAGTAGAATGTATTTTGACATATTACACATACATTGAGTATAATAACTTCCCATTCTTTTTTTAAGTTATTTTTTAGTTGTTCATGGACCTTTATTTTTTATTTATTTATATGTGGTATTGAGAATCAAACCCAGTGTCTCACACATTCTAGGCAAGCACTGTACCACTGAGCCACAACCTCAGCCCATAACTTCCCATTCTTGTAGTTGTACATGACGTGGAGTTACACTGATCATGTATTCATATATGAACATAGGAAAGTTATGTCTGATTCACTCTACTATCTTTCCTCCCATCCTCCTCCCTTCCCTTCATTCCCCTTATATAGGATTACAGTAATATCTTTCATGTTCCAAACTCGAGAATTAATCTATTATACTTTTTAATTGTTATTAGGCTCCTTTTGGTTAACTTTTCATGGGTCTAAGGGATTAAAATATGGTAGGTACATTAATGGATCTTTGATCTATTTGTGCATGTAGGTTTCCCCTGGTTTAACACCTATAATTTTATAGTCATTTTTTTTTCACTTGAAATGTTGTCAATATCTTTCCAAGTCAATAATTACACTTCTGAACTGTCTTACATGGCATTTCATTGTATGGTTTCACTTCAATTTATTTTGAAAATAAATCAAACAATATCCTATTTCTATTATAAATTTTATGTTTATAAATAATATAATTTTATTTTTAACTTTTTAAATTATAAACAAAGATCTCCTTTTTAAACCTTATGCCTTATTCTGTAGTATAGGACTTTTAAAATGCTCATACCATGCATATTGCTGGACCTTTTCTATGTAAAATGTTTAAATTAGGAAATATTTAAAATGTAGAAAAAGGAGAGCAAATAATAAACACTTTGTACCCTTTACCTAGCTTTAATCAATAGTAACATTTTGCCATGTTTGTTTTTGATTTTCTTTTTAAGAAATTAAAGTGTGAATTTTAATTAAAGCATCATCTTTAACCACTCATACCCCATCATTTGCTTTTCCTATCCTTTACCCCTAGAGGTAATCTTTGACCCCGTGCATTTTTTTTTGTTTTTAATATATGTGCAAATATCTGGGACAGTGTAAAATATTCTTTTTTGGCTTGAAAAGTGTAAGTAGTTATCCTGTAGATATGGTTTTGCTGCTTTTATTTTCCACTTAATTCCACTAGGGGTTGAACCTGGGGCACTCTACCACTGAGTTACATCCCCAGCTCTTTTTATTTTTAATTTTGAGACAAGGTCTCACTGAGTTGCTGAGGCTAGGTTTGAAATCACAATCCTCCTGCTTCAGCCTCCCTAGTACCTGGGATTACAGGCATGTATGTGCCTGGCTTGTGTTTTCTTATTCAGTATTTTAGTTCCATTTTGTTTTTAAATTCCCTAAATTAGTCTTATAATAATAATTATTGTTTTATAAAGTCATTTCCTATTGTTTTTTTCATGTTTATTAATTTCTTTGTTCAATAGTACCTTTCTTGCAACTATTTTCTTCTTTTTGGGCTCACTTTCTGCTTTTGTCAGCTTTTTTGCTGCTGTGACTAGAAGACCTGACAAGAACAATTTTAGCAGAGGTCAAGTTTACTTGGGGGCTCATGGTTTCAGAGGTCTCAGTCCATAGACAGCCAGCCCCATTCCTTGGGGTTCAAGGTGCGGCAGGACATTAGGGAGGAAGAGAGTAGTGGATGGAAGCATGATGATCAGGACGGAGGAGAGAAACTCCACTGAGCAGATAAGAAACGAATACCCCAAAGGCACGCCCCCCAGTGACCCACCTCCTCCAGCCATACCCTACCTGCCTTCCGTTACCACTCAGTTCATCCCCAATAGGGGTTAATTCACTGATTGGGTTAAGGCTCTCATAATCCAGTCATTTCTCCTCTAAATCCTCTTGCATTGTCTCACACATGAGCTCTTGGGGGAATCCTCACAACCAAAATATAACACTTTATTTTTCACTTTCTCTAGATATATACATTATATATCTTATATATATATGTAAGATAAATATTATTATAAAAAGATAACATAATATATAATATATATATATTATATATACATATATATGTATACACATATTTGTGTGTGTATGTAGGTATATATATATATGTATATATATATATATATACACACACACACACACACACACACACACACACATACATACACCCTCATGTATGTATCTTTAATCCTTCTTGTGTAGGTCTGTTTCCCTCAAAAAATTCTTTATTGTGCCTTACTATTTTCATTGCTAATTTACCTGCACAGAGAATTCTGAGTTCTGTTGTTTTTTTCTCAGCACTTTTCAAAAATTAGTCCATTGTTTTCTGCACTCTCATTGGCAATTTATAAAGCATAGCACTTACTTTTACCCTTTTTTTTAAAACTTCAGGTATTATAATTTCATCATCCACACTTGAGCATGGTGTAGACCTAGGGTTTCAATTTCATATAGCATCCCTGAGCAGAGCACATTTTCTGCTTTCCGTTCTTTTGAATATATGCCCACAAGTGGAATTGATGGATCATATAGTAATTTCTGTTTTTAATATTGGGGGGAATTATCACACATTTTACGTACCCACCAGCAATATACAAGGATTCAATTTCTGTTCATCTCCACTGTTATCTTTTTTTTTTAGCAAACATTTTTATTTATTTTTTTACTGGTACATATCACTTTATTTTTTCTTCTTTCTTTATATATGACAGAGGAATGCATTATGATTTTTATTACACATTTAGAGCACAATTTTTCATATCTCCGGTTGTATACGAAGTATATCCACACCAATTTGTATCTTCATACCTGTACTTTGGATAATAATGATCATCACATCCAACCATCATTAATTACCCCATGCCCCCTCCCTTCCCCTCCCACCCCTCTGCCCTATCTATCATCTATTCCTCCCATGCTCCCTCTCCCTAGCCCACTGTGAATCAGCCTCCTTATATCAAAGAAAACATTCGGCATTTGGATTTTTGGGATTGGCTAACTTTACTCAGCATTCTCTAACTGTTGTTATCTTTTGATAATGGCCACCTAAGAGGTGTGGAATGGTATCTCATTGTGGGTCATATATATTCTCCAGCATTTTTGTTTGTAAATCAGGGCAAGGTAGAAAGTGGTCCACATTAGGAAGTCTGCAATGTGCTAGAACTGCCAGACCTATCTATGCAAATTGTTTGATTTTTCTGTCTTTTGGCGAGTATCCAACTTGTAAGTCCATAAAAATTTATGACAGTTCCCTTAAAAATAAAAAAGACTTTATCCTTAGATTGTTTCATAAATCTCCTGGTTTCAGTTAAAATATCATGAGCCAAAAATCGTTATCCCCCGTCTGCCATTCTCTTAACTGTTTGTTACCTTTTTTTTAACAGTCCTTTCTGTAACAATAACTATTACTTTGCAGTCATTTTATTGGTGCCATCACTATTGCTTTATGTTTTGATCTTGTCTCATAGTCATATAACACTGCTCTCCTAGCCTCCCACAGTACCACTGCTATCCCAGGGGTTTGGCTCTTGAACATAATTCAGTTTAATATCTGTAGGTATTAAGGCCTCCTAACAATCCATTCACTCTTCCTTTACAGCTGCCTATATAATTGTCAAAGAGATCTAGGGAACAAGGATACAATCATTAAGGGCATCCCCAGTCTTGCTTTCCTTATTCTATTCTAGATAGAGGTCTTTAGGATTACCAACGAGGAAATCAAATGCCCCATCAATTACATTTAATTTTCAATCATTCCTTTCCTGGTCAGATGTTTGGCTACACAGATGGTCCCTTCCATATAATGTTCAACCTAGGAGTTTTTGACTTTTAAGATTGTGTAAAAGTGAAATGCATTCAGTAGCAACAGTACTTCAGATTTTAATTTTTGATCTTATCCCAGGCTGAGAATATTCAGTGTGATGCTCTCTGGTTGCTGGACAGCAGCAGGGATCCACAGCTCCCAACCAGCCATCCAATCGCGAGGGCAAATAATCCGTACTTCACAATGTACTGCATTGCTAAGCTAGGACATTTGGTGTATCTGGTATATTCAGTGCATTTTGACTTATGATATTTTCAACTTATGATGAGTTCATCAGGATGTGACCCATTGTAAGTCAAGAAACATCTGTATAGCAAAGGGATAGAGATGGGAAACTGGAAGATCAGTTTTGTTTGACTTTAGTAGAAAACATATACTGCTAAGTGACTTATAATATGGAGTTGATCACACATTCCTGATTATCCTGCTCTTTAATTATTTCATAAATATTAGCCTTTCTTGAAAGAGGAAACTTGGGGACCTGGGTTGGGCTTCTACTGAGGGATGTTGTGGTCAAGGACAGAGAGAAGGGAAGTACCAGGTGGGGTGCTGGCATTTCCCTAGAACCCACAGATGGTAAGGAATGGTTTTCCCATTGGCCTGTCTCGCCAAGACCTTCTCCATGCTCAACAGAGTCGATGCCAGTACAGAACTGAGCTGATGACAGTCTTGATGAGCAATGACCACAGTTTGCTTTCTTCTGAGACTCTTAATGTTTTCCAATTGCTTAGTCCAAGAATCAGCTGGTGTAGCCCTATGTCTGTTCACTGCCTGGGCCAGGAGGGAGCCAAATGTCTTGTTGGACAAATAGCCTGTGGGCCTAAATCTGGCTCCTGTCCATGCCTTGGAAATAAATCTATATGCAGAGGTTAGGGAAGGTTTGGGCCATATGCTTGCCTAGCATGTATTTCACGAAAGCTCAAGATAAAGTAAGGCTCTGA